TTCAAACATTTAAGGTATCCTGCTGTATGAATATCGAGTATTGCTTCAAATGTGTTAACTGGGCACGTAAAAATTAAAGGCCAAAATATTCACTGAGTTTTTTTTCAAATTTGCTAAAAAGTTATTTTTATATTTCTCGGGGACAATAAAAATGAATTCAAATAAAAAGTCAAAAACTGTCTACTATATAGTCATTTTTTTTTTTTTTTTTTTGTGGGGATTAGTTAATAATACAACGGTGCACCTTTGTGAATTTACTTGTTCCCTCTAAGAAATAAAATGACGAACAAAGGATAAGACATTTCATTAAGAATTTTCATTTTTTAATTATTTACGATAAACACAAAGAAAATATGAAACACTTTTTTTGTACACAAGCAGAGACAATACAATATACTATTATTTCTTTTGAGAAATGTAATTTTAGTTCCCTTTATTATCAGCTGACAATATTTAATAAAAGAGGTATACATGTCATTAAATGATTTTTAAGATTTCTCATTACTAAGATTTTTTAATATTCTTGTAATTTTGACGCTCCACTCAAACAATGTAGTTAATTATGATTCACTTTAAATATTCTCATCATATTATAATATAATTTTTTTACTTTCTATTTATCTTATAAAAATATAATTTTTTAACCAAGAGTAAACCTATATTCTGCTTATAATTATTGTTCTGTGATGCTTTATATATTTATAATTTAATTATTTTTTTAACAATACCCTTCCAGTTTGTTTTTAGGATATTATTATCATTGGGTGTTTAATATATTTAAACAAATGATAATTTTATTTTAATTTATATATATGTCAACGAACTCAGAACTTATAAACTTACCACGGGCCACTGTTACTAATATTTGTATTAGTGAACAGTTGCACACGTGATATCTTAGAAAATACTTTGAAATTTCAAGTAGTAAATAATATTGAAATAATAATACTGTATCGAATAATATTGGGTACGCGTACAACGACTAGCAAAGCGTCCAAATCTCGTAATGGTTGGATCTGTGATGCACATTTTATGGCTAAGAGGCATTTTTTCCGTTGTTTCCCAGTCTACTGAGCACTGGCAGCAGTCTCGTCTCGAAAAAAAATTGTCCAGAACTGGTCTGCACTCTCAGAAAATGACGTATCAATCAATCAGCAGCCGGGACGATGCTAAACTGTGTACACCAAACTTGTACTGTACTTGATAAATAAACTTACATGTACGAACTTCTCACACACACGGCACACGCAAACGCGTTGAGTTATATATAATATTATTATATTAAGCTCGACAGAAAGAGAGAGAGAGAGAGAGAGAGAGAGAGAGAGAGAGAGATAGAGATAGAGATATAGCGAATAGTTTTGTGAGAAGTTTCGAGAAACGTGTGTACAGTGAAGGGGAGGGGGGCATTGCGAGGGATTGTTGGAGCTAATGCGCGAAGACTTATACACGGTCATTGAACGTGTGGAGAAGTTCGGTAGCAATACTTAACGCCCAGGTGCCCACGTACGCAGGCGCATCACTGTTCGCCGCACACCAACTTCGAAGTTGATTAATTTGGTAGGGTTCTTCGCGGACAATAATTGTACTTGTGAAACAGTAAGTTCGTCGTTGGCGGCACGATGTGGCATGGCGGCGATTCCACGACACACCACGAGAGGTGAAACATCTTTGGACAGTGCAGAGAGCGATCGGTGCAGGGTAGCACCGATGTCGAAATACTATCACCTACTGAATTTACCACTAAAGTACTTTTCGGGAATTATTCTGATACTATATTATCATTACAATCACAATAGTTATCGTCAAATAATTGAACATTCCTTGACAGTATGGCTTACACCCATATAATGTGTACGAGCTAACGATAATTTTATTTTGTACTGTTATTAATTAATAGCCAATCAAAAAGAAATTTTTTAACCGGATATTGTATAAACGTCGTAGCAAAACTAATGAATGTTGGTAATACAAAAGTAATACGCGCGCATTCAAATAATTCGAAGAATTGTCATGTATTCCCCGAACAGTATATTTTTTTTAGCTGATGGTGGTACGCTTTTACTATTTCAAAAGGATTCGTTTAGAATTTTAGATAAAACATTTTATATCTGCCCGGATGATATAAGATTACCAAAAAATGGTCAAGAACTACGCTCGTTATGATGTAGTTATTTAATTTGAAGATTTTAATTTCTTGTTTTAATCGAAAACTACTGAGAAATTCAAAAGTGTACTACTTCAAAGACTCAACTATTTCTAACATAGATATAGAAGCCGTTATCAAACTTTTATTTACAGACCAAAAAAGTTAAGCGAATTTAAGAATTCCGTACACCACAAATTATTTTAAAACCAGCACATATTTCTCGATTCACTACTGAATTCATAAATTATTTTTATTTGTTATGGGTACCAGACTTAATTTTCATTATTAGTATCTTTCAGTAGAAATTTTTTTTTTAAATTTGTAAATTGTAGTATCATAAATTATAATATTTATGTATACTAATGGACATATTTTATGTTTTAGTTAATATATATATATATATATTTATTTTAAATTTATTTATAGTAAACAGTATGTACCAGTTAATATTACAACATTTGTTTAAACTACATCTCTTTACTGATACTGTACTAAATTCACAATTAAGTACCTTTATTTTCTTTAGCCCATATACTATATAATGTATAGTTATATTTTCCGAATTTAAAATCTATAATTTATTTTATATTTTTATTAATTCTTATAATAAACAGTAATTATAACTATATATCATACGTATTTTACTTCGGGGCTTGTGCTAATAAGAATATTCTTATTTACGACTAAATAAACAAGTTCTTTAAGGCTACTTTTTTATTTTTTTTTATTATTATGTGCTTTACATTACTTATTAGTATGACCATATTTTGTAAATAAATCGGTGGTTAACAAAAACAATATTATATTATTTTGTAATTTTATAATTAATAGATTTAAAAACGAAATCTCTCATTGTTACGCGAAAAATAACGACATCACCATGGGATTCGATGATCAATATGCTCACTATTATGTAATAATAAATGAATAGCTAATAGTTATCAATAATTGATTGTCGTAACTCGTAAGAACACCGTCGGTTTTTTCTTTGCTTGATTTACTTCTGGTATCGATCGTGTTCCCGTCGGCCGACGCTGTTTCGCGTTTATAAAATCGTCTGACCGTTTTCCGCTCATGACCATTAAATTAATTGAATATTTACTTGCGTTAAACACGCGTGTATCTACAAAACACTCGTTAAATAATACCACGTTTAGACATAATATCGTAACCGACTCTGTGGAAGGAAACGCAGACGTAACCTGCGGATACTGCAGTGCCAGCTTAAAACAATTAATAATTAATTAATAATAATAATAATACAATGTATGCGAGATAAATTCTGGACATAGATCCGAGTAAAAAGCTGTGGTGTGCAGATAATCTCGCCGACAACGATCCAGACCACGAGGGGCTTCCAACACGATTCCCTTTAACAAGGGTCGATTGTACAGACCTACAACGTCTGTGGTAGTGTAGTACTGAGTTTTTCGAAAAACACGTTGCCTATCGATGTACTTATTATTATTATTATTGTTAGGTACGGTGATCTACACATGAATCACGATAGCATAATATTTGTATGTACATATATCCGCATGTCGACCTATAATCTTACCGGAAACGTCCGCGCGGGATCCGGTGAGCTTAAGATGTGCCTACACTTACTACCCTTGTCGGTGCATTAACTCGTCGACTTCTCCTCCTTTATATATGTGTGTGTCTGTGTGTGTGCAATGTATAATATATATATATATATGTATCAGACACTCCATTGAAACGTGCCATTTACAAATGCTAAACCAGTCGGTGCTGCAGAAGTTTGTTTTGCTTAATGTTTACCGACCGGAAGTCCGGGGCTTATGTTTCGAAATACGAAATTCCCGCCCCCGTCATTTGGCCGCGGCCCTTGTGCGCCAAGAGACGGCTGCGGAGGGGATCAGAAACTGGCGTGTCTATTATAAACGCGCCGAACTTTCGCTACCTCGCTGACACTCCATTATGACCAAAACTTTGCCGCCGCCTATAATACGCAGTGTACTGCTTTCACGGGCGTTTATATAATATTCATATAAATATATATAATAAATTATAAATATATATAATATATATATATATATATATATACACATGGCTGTAAGCTCAAAGCAACCAAATATTTATTTTATTTCTTTCGTTTAAAAGCTAAAAGTAGCTAATACACGTCACTGACAAATGCATATTATCCATACCTAGTGACAGTGGGGAGGTGGGAATTGCCCGTCAACTCCTTAACAACAGTCTCACAAGACATTATAAATCCTATTAACAGTTTGTAAAAGTTGTATAATATTGATTTTGTGTCAGTATATAAAAAGTGAACATAATATTATGAATACTATGAGTAACGATTCCCATTAATACAACTATATATTTTAGTAACTTATTCTGTAAAATACAATATAAATTGTATTTTATTTGAATGATAATATTGGCGAGCTCAACATTATTTGTGTGCACCTCTCGACAAACCCTAGTCGGAAAATCCCTGAGATGAATAAGCTTCAAAATGCAAATAGTTAGCATTTATATAATGACACAACATTATGTTTTTTTTTTTTCAATGAATTTTATAAACTAATAAATAGTAAAAATATTTGAAAAGCACTCTTTGTTGTATATATTTACATACTATACATGGTTCTATAACATTTGTATAGGATTAAATGATTGTATAGTACTCTCTCCCCTTATATATTATATACAACTCTACAGTACACAGATAAATACACCTCTGGACTCTGCAAAATGTCTGCTGGTGACATACACACACGTAATTAGTTTTTTTAAAAATATATACACAAACAAAAAAATGTATTTTTTTTAGCTATTGAAACGTACATGTTATTAATCAAGTTGGTTTTTTTTTCAGAGAGTGTAGTTAACTATGTAGCACCCAGAGCTGACACCGAATTCGAAGACGTCAGCTACGATGGAGACTTGGCACGGTCACTCATGACGGGCGGTCTGGGAATGCTGACGGACAGCTTGTACGGAGCAGACGATTTCTTGCAGTTCGATTTGCAATTCCATAAACCTCTCAGTGAGTATTATTCATATTTACGTCAAAAAAGTACACTTATTACCATTAAATTCAAGACCAATGATATTTTTCAACTAAAGATTTCAATGTCCGTGGGTTAGCATCGAAATGTTTTTGAAATACCTACGTAAAATAATTTTTACTTCCAAATGAATTTACTTTGAGCAGATCTTTGTTTTTGAGAAAAATAATTTGGTTTATATAAGCTCGTAAAATAATAATCTATTCTAAGAAACAATCAATCAATAACCCAATAAAATTATGATACTTGCTCATTAATTGTACTATCAAATAAAGAAATAAAATGACTACTTTTACACATGATTTACTGATATAAACAATGTAAAGGTGAAAATGTATGGATGAACTAAGTAACCCTATTTTACGTTACATATTTTATTCATCATGTTGTATCACATTAATCCGTAAGACGATAATGTTTTTCCATCATAAATATAAATAATATTTACAATATAGCCGTAGTAGTTTGTGGGTTGGTAGGTAAGTAGTTGGTAAACATCTTTGAATATTCTTATTGAATATTTATTAAAAAAATAAAGCTTGATAATGCTTCTGATTTAAATTTCAAAATATAGTTTTATAAAATGTTAGAGCAACCTGATTTAATTCTCACCCGACAGCACGTTATAAAATAATGCATTTAATATAATATAAATTTCATATTATACTAGTACTCGTGCGCCTGTAAATTTATCTTTTTAATATTATTTTTACTATGTGCTTGTATAATATTATTATAGTATAATAGTCGTAGAAGTAAAGAAGAATTATGGTGAATCGTTATAAATCGTGGCCATATTAAAACCAGGGCATGGACGTAATAATATCATGTATAAGCCACCGAGGCGTGGACACGATAATATTATAAAATATGTGTACGTGCCATTATTATACAACAAATAACAATAATAATACATTCGTGCGGTGAACTTAATATATATTTATTGTATATTCTATTCGGTCCGTCGCGACGCCGTTTTTTCACCACTCCCGATTCTTTCGAACCCCGAGGCGTTAAAGTAAACAAAAAAAAAATATATAATAACAATAACGGTACAAACAACACCGCACAGACCACATGGCAATATACATAATAATAATAATATAATAGGACTCGTTCGCTCGTTCGGAAGAGTTGTACTTTGAATATTATTAGAATTAATATTATCGTTCGGCATCGCTCCCGAAACGGCAGTCGGCGCCGCCACCGTCACCACAGCCGAGATACGGTTAAATCTTATTAACTCGGCAGAGACGAACGTCGCGAATTATCTCGACGGTTTGCATGTACGAGTTATACGTATAATATATGTATATTATTATAAACATGAATACTCGCAAAGGCCAAAAGCGGTGTACGCCACTGGCGACCGACTCACGGTATAAATCAGCGGGCAGACTGCAGTAACCACACGGAGGCTAAACCGGCAGCGACGACGACCACGTTATTATTTCCGAACGCCCGCCGCCGCCTCCACAGCCGCTTTGTGCGTACTCTACTCGTTATTATTATTATTGTTGTTGTTGTTGTTGTTGTATTCGTAAGAAACGTCTGTCGAGAAGTTTTCCGAACGTATAAATATAATATTATTAATTGTGTCATTGTGCAGATACAACGTAGAATAAAAACCCGGTCTTTTGGCTTTTAGAGGGATCCGTATAGTTAGTGGGGTCCCGGGGCCACTGGAATTCGGAATAATTGGCCGACCAAAGGAAGATAAAAGAAGAACATGTTTCGGTATCATGACGTATTATTAAAATAAAATATTATATTATAATAGGTACCGTCGCGATACCGTATTAGCGCTTTTACAGTAGACGGGTCCAAATACCGCCTAAAACATTTTGTGGCGTGATAATATTTCCACAATAATAATAATAATAATACCCAGCAATGTCGTAGTCGGGAAGACCTTATAATATGAAGACATATTTAGTTATCCGAAGTGAAGAAATGTTATTCCATACGGATCAATTTAGCGTAGCAGGGAGCACTATCAATTGCAAGAGATTCTCGTAAATAAAAATTCACGCTCGGTTTACAACTCTATACTAGGGTACAGTGGCGTGGTGAATGGGGTTTCATGACGCCTAGGCGTCATTGTGGATTTTTTTTTTAGAAGGTTGGGAACATTATGGTAACCAATAACATATAATAAAAATTAAAATATTTACAGTCACATAATAATATTATGTGTACTATATATTATATTAAGGGGATACAAAAGGGGTAGGTAATGAAATATTATATGCTAGGCATCAAGGTTTATCAAATATATTCATCACACCACTGATAGAGTACCTACTTATGTATTTAAGTTAGTAATTTACTATATGATTTAAAGACAGTTTTCAATAAATGTTTCTTTGAGTTCGCTAGTGTTAATGGTGCACATCGAACCAAATATCGTGTTTCAATTTATTCATTTGGATAGAGTCGAAAAGTGTCGAGTGTGTATATTATATTATAATGACAAATTCTATAGTGTAAATACTGTAGGTACATATATAGTGTTTAAATTATCTATAGAGTACTATTGTGTAGGTATACCGTTAAGAAACGTAAGCGGTAAAAATTTCGCCTATCCTACACAATTTGAAAATTATAAAAAAAAACAAAAAAGACTAAAAGTCAATTTAAAAACAAAGAGGGACATTTCGATATATCTCTGCTGTATCTCTGTGGTCAGAAACGCTATAAATGTCCAAAGAATAGCCAACATAGAGGTATTATGCAAGATAAAAGTAAATCAGAATTATGGTGATGTTTTCAGAAGATATAAAACAATAAGACATAAAATATTAATACATGAAAGTTTTAAACAATAATAATTGAAGGAGATATTAATTCAGAAGTGGAATGCCAAGGATGGAATATATGCATATATGACTTAAATGTTAAATCATGCCATGGACACCAACAAATACAAAGAAATAAAAAAAACTGCCCTAAACTACACTGAGACATGGGGTAACTAACTAATAAACCAACTAATCTATTGAATATAAACAAAAAGAAAAAATTATTTTTTTTTAATTGACTGACGCACGTTTTCTCACATAGCTATCAAAAATCGATATACTGAATCCAGTGTGAGGGATTTAGGTAGGAAATTGATCAGAAAATGAGGTGAAATGTATAAATGTGAACCTATACAACCATTTTCCTGACAATGAAGAGGTTATTTTTATTGTTAAACTAGATTATAATTTAACCATAGATCATCGTAAAATTGAATCGTTTTATCTTACAATAATACTTCGTAATTTATTCGTATTTGTTAGTTTGCTTTTTTTTGTTATCACACTTAATTTAAAAATACTCCTGAACGTTCGTAACACTAACAGCACAATTTATAATGAAACGCAATTCACATTCAAAACGTATCTCATCGTAAACGTTTGGCTTTTGAATGAAAATAACTATGTGTGTAAATAAAACAGATATTTCGAAGCATAATATGAAAACATTTTTTCCAATCTTTTCATTGAATACATTTGAAATATTCGAGTTTCGATTACACGTCTACATTATACCTAATATAATAATATTGTGTAGTATATTATTTAGTTTTTTTTTAAAAATTAAGTTAAGGTTTCAATATCCTGAGGCCATTAGCCTGGGTTATTTTAGTCGGTTTTATTACTTTGTGGGATTGTACGATTGGTTATAAACTTATAACACGTGTATATATGGCGAGGATTTGTCACTAAAACCCCTGGTGGTCACTCATTCGAGAACTAGAGACATCGACCGGTGCTGGCACTCAGAACACGTTTTGTGACCCATACCACTACTGGTTAACACAAGGCCACAGTATTATTATTATTTCGGTCTTGGTAAATGATGTACGTCTGTTCGACCATTCAAATTTGTATAAGTACGGCCTTTGTGTGGTAAACGCTCGTTATTTTAGTTGTGGTCATGAAGAAAAAAAATGTACGAAGATAAAACGTTTATAATATTATATTTTTTTCTTTCTTTGTCCCTTTACCATATTTCTTACGGACTCTTAAATACGTTTAAAGATCGTCCCACAAAATATTTTCTAGTCCATTATAATAATAACATGTGTATAATTTTGTTGATATTTTTCTGCGATTGAATATATTATATTTCTTATTTTAGGCAAGAGATGGGTCGGCTGGTCAAACGATTCAATCGGCAATAAGTTGGATTTGGTGTTCGAGTTTAACGGGTTCCGCATGTTCAAAGAAGTGAAAATACACAGCAGCCATATACCGACCAGAGACGTAAAGGTGAATGCACCGTTCCGCAGTACTGCTGTTTAATATAATATTAAAATTACTACACCACGAACTTTAAAAATATAATGAATTATTAAATCGCGATCAGTAATAATTGCATGATAATATTAATTTATTTTATAATATGAATTATTACAATAATAATTACTAATGTAATCGTATTTTGAATACGATCGTACCGTGGAGATTGTCCAATACTTCAAAAGGAGGAATCCTGAAGTGCCATGGCATTTTATCATCAATTATCACGACTCCAGTGGCACAACTACCGGATGTTTTGACTTTGAGGGAGTTGGTTGGAGGGGTTGGGAGTGCACAGAGTCACTGGGGCCCACAGACTGTATAGTGGCCCCGGCCTGACTAATAATACTTTGATCTATGAAAAAATTTTCTTGAAGTACGGTCCAACACATTAATTATAATAAAATAAAATTATCAAGTGTATACAACTAGACAATGTAGAAAAATATAACTTAAAAGTAATATAATATAACATCTGGGATTGACATTAATGTATTATAAAATTATATTGTTATATAAATAGTGTGCAGTAAGTACTCAGTTGTGTATTGCTAAAAAAAATCGTGAATATATACTATCTAACTAAGGCTTTCAAGTAGAAATAAAAGTAATGGTGGTACATATTGTTTACTTTTTTACATAGGACACAAATCAAATAACTCCTAAGTCGTCGAAAAAATATAAAACCGCCAAGTATATAGATTCTTACTACTTAGGGTTATGGTAGATCATGTTAATACAATGATGGTTAGTTGCGTTTGAAATACAGTTTTGAGCGGGACCAAGCTTCTTTGAGAAATCGTAGATCGATAAATATACATTTTACACCTATTAGGTAACAGATGTTTCATGTAACGTGCGAAAAGTATAATCTTGTAACTGCTAAACGCAGGACCAACTATTTCAATTTTTTAAATATATGACTGTCAATTTTTTTCGTTCAACAAACCTTTCCATTGCCTGATCACATAAGTGACAGTAAAATGTGGGGGTTTCATTCCAACATGGGATACAATACCTATGTATATAAATGTACGAAAAACTTACCATTATATTAGAGCCCTTTCCTGGTAAACTTTTTCCCGTTTTCCATTATGACAGCCGTCGGAAGATTATTTTTTCGTATTTAAATAGACCAAGGTCTAAAATAAGTACTACAATTTTAATATTACCTACATAGTACTCTCTTTATAATTAATGTTTACCATTTATTTTATAATTTTTATTACATTATTTCTGACTGCATATAGAGCAGAGCTCCTACTCATGTTAAGCAAATTTAATACGGACAAAATAGGACAACCAATGTATTCCCCGTTATATTATATATCGATATACCTTAAATGGTCCCGAGTGGAATACGACGAGTAATATTGTGGAAGTTCAATATATACATATAATTTATTGTACAATACAATTACAGTATAGTGCTATAATCATACAATATAATAATGTTTGAAAGTACTCTGGGTCTGAGTTCCTTAATGGCGTAATGTTGTTATATTATTACTTTACCCGTTAACGTGTTCACGTCAGTGGCGGTCAAACGGGTGGTTATAAGGGTGATGAGGGGATCCCCCATGACCTTTTAAGATTCTGAGAGGAGCAATGAATGTGTTAATTTTCCAATGATGTGCTTTTTTTAATTGTTTTGTGTATATTATACAAGATAATTATTCAAAATCAATAATCATGCTTCGTTTTTTGATGTAAACAATTAAAATTCACAATAGTTTTCAAAAAAATTATCATATTGAAAATTTGCAAATTATTTTGTAGATAAAAATGTATGAATATTCAATTTTAATAGCTAAGGATTGAACCTTTAAAACAAGGATCTACGTAATTAGTTCGTTCTTGTAGGTAAACAAAAAACCTAAAAAATATATAAACACAGTTTTTTCTTTATATGCCTATTATACTCTGTTCAAGAAAAGAGTGGCACATACGAAACATAATCGGAATATTGCCACAGCGTCTTTGCGACGCCCCTTTGAATCGATCTCCCCTATAGGTCGGCGATCATTGATAAAACGTACGATCAATGTACGGTGTCCGTGTGCTATAAGCTGACATGTATTTTGTTTCCTTTCTCAATTCTCCCTGTAACAAAAATATTGTAGTACAACTCGAGCGAAAACCGTTGGATCATCGACAACAAAATTACCACGCCCGAGGATTTCTCCCTTCGCGGCTGCTGGTCGCTGGCACATTATTATTATTATTATTTATAAGTCACAACCTTTCGTACAATGCAATATTATAGTGTACGCGAGCTCTATTATACGTTTTATTACGCGTGCATTGTTTCCTCGACGACGCCCGCCCGCGTTTGTATATTATTATTATTATTATACGCACACTGCAGAAACGGAGACGCCGCCGCAAGTGGTCGCCGCTCGTCCCGCTCTCCCCTATACATAATACGCTCGCCCGACGGCGCGAAAGCTCTCAATAGTAACGAACGGCCATTGTGTGCCACCGGGCACATTAAATATAGTGCATATAATATATATGTGGGTGTGTGTGTTTGTGTCTGTGGGTCTATGAGTGTGTGGGTGTGTATTACATCCACCGCCGCCGCCGGATAAGTATATAATACACTCGGTGTTAATACGGTTCTAACGGCTTTAATTTTTTCTTCACATCGCGTCTCGCCTTCAAACGCACGTCGCGATCGGTGGGGGTGCGACCAGGGAACGCTTAATTCCCAATTCCGCCCATTTCATATCGACACACTGTGTCCCACGGTTGCAAGACGCGTGTGAGGAGCGATTTTTTTTTATCTTTTCGCGATCGACTGCAGTGATTACTTCGATGACTGCACTGCATCATTTTCTGGACGATGAATGCCTCACGCGATTTTTCTGCTTCAAGTTTTTCTTAAATGTTTCCGTACTTGTTGTGGAAAATTCATTTTTCATTTCATTTGCCTTGTAGCAGAATGTTTAACCGGGAATTTATGAGTCTTTATACGATTTAAATGTACCTACGCTTAACCCTTTGTAGGAAATCGATAAATGGTGATCAAAATTTGATTTTTTTTTTGATGGATTTCAAAATTTTAAATTAGAGTTTTTTTAATATATTTTTCAGAACTGAGACAAATGCATCCCATTGGTAATTTAGGGAGTATACTCCCTTTGGAACTACTATTTTTTTTGTATCCAATGATGAATTAGTAATAATTAGTTTTAAAAATAATTAATTAATTAATTAAAAAATATAATGACCATATTAAATTTAGATATAGTACATGTTTTATATTAAAAATAACAACATAAACTTAATTCATTGTTTGAGCTACAATTGTAGATAAAAGTTAAAAAATAATAATTCCTTTTAAGTACCTTATGTCATCCTAATATACCTAATATACCTATGTAGTCGATTTATGGAAAATGATTAATAATAATAACCATTGCTATTATTCTCTTTATGACTATATAATATAATATTTCGAAATTATTACACCAATTTGTCGGAATACTAAACATTTTGATAGGTATACTGATTTTTGAGGGTCTTAAATTTTATAATTGGCTCTTCAATAAATGTATAGTTAAAACGATGTATAATTATAGATAGTTACGAAGTATTATTTATATATTTATAGGTAGGTACTATGGTAAAATACTTAATAATATACATAATTTAATCCATTTCAAAGTTAATTTTCACAATTTACTAACAAAATCCTAAGGGAGTAAAAATAAGAATGACGTCAACATTTAATACCATTTAAATTTTCCACCAAATATTTGAAATAAAATAGCTTGATTATATTGCAAGCATTTGATTCTCTTGAATCGAACCTACACATATAATACAGGGTGATATTTTTATCATTGAACACTCATTATTTCAAAAAGTATTTATGTTTAAGAAAATATTTTTTTACATAGTTTCAAGTTGTTAAAAACAATATTTTTATTAAAAAATGTATTTTTAAATATTTTTATCCTTTAATTTTAATTTTTTTACTTTTTGAATGACAACATGTAATTTTAATTTTAATTCAAAACAGAATATTTTTCTGAGTATTTTAATACATAAAAATTGAATTAGGGCAAGTAGTTTATGAGTATAAGTATTTAAAGTTTAGATGAGCGGAGTAGTGGACAAACATTTCGCGGGGTAACCCCGTACCACTCTACTCCGCTCATCTAAACTTAAATACTTATAACTCATAAACTAATTGCCCTAAATTCAATTTTTATGTATCGAAATACTCAGAAAAATATTCTGTTTTTGAATATCAAATTAAAATTACATGTTGTCATTCAAAAAAGTAAAAAACTTAAAAAATTAAAAGGATAAAAAATATTTAAAAATATAATTTTTAATAAAAATATTGTTTTTTAACAACTTGAAACTATGTAAAAAAATATTTTCTTAAACATTAATACTTTTTGAAATAATGAGTGTTCAATGATAAAAGAATCACCCTGTATATATATATATTCATTATGTATTATGTATATTATACTCCTAGCTTTAAAAACAAAAAGCTATTCTGTATAGTACATATGTCTCATGATTTATGAGTTAGGTATACTTGCTACAGTCTCAAAGTTTGTCATATTTGTAAACGTATATATAATGCATATACCTACCTACCTCTTATAGAATTTCTAAGAAGTGCCTACAGGCTACAAATGTTCATTTTGATACATAATATAATAATATACATTTAACCTTTTAGAAATCATACCCGAATAAAATGTATTCTAAGAAGACGATTTTACAGATTTATATTAGGAATGAGTCGAACCTTATATTTTTTTCTAACTTTCTTTGTATTTTAAAAATGGGACTTTTACAAATTTGAAGTTGTAGTAATATAAACTTGAAATGTTTAAAAGTTGAATTTTTAATTGTTTCAATACATTTTATAAAATTTTTATTTTTAATTTTGAGTGAAAAATAAAACCTATATTCTTATGTCCAAAAAGTAAAATTGATATCATCACATAACCACATTAATCAGCTGTCAGTCTATTTCCACTGTTCATGATGTTCGATTTCGAATTTGAACCTCGATTTTTCTTGAACATCAACCCGTTCAAGGTACTCGAAGGTTTGAAGAGTTCAAGAACTCATCAATATAATATTCTATAATTCTATTTTTACACAGTAAATAAAAACGAATGTCATGATGCGAATGCTATATCCCATCGATCGATTCCTTTGTATATAATATTTGGGTTTCTAGTTTTTAAAATTAAATTTATAATAATTCAATCTACCTTCGTATAATTATTGTTTGAACATTTTTTTTTTATATACCTATGTACATGTAATAGATTCTACTTATACTTTTCAGAACTCAGTATTTATTACGTTCACCTCGAGGGTTGTAAATTTGAGTTTACTACAAGATCACCGGCGGTGTTTGCAGATAACCTTCTATTTGAATATTATATTTATTGCCAATATAAAAAAAAAGACAATAATGGATCCATAAACCGTTATTCTAAATCCAACGGTTCCAATAATATATTATGTCTCTGTTGAACTCTGTTGTACTCTATTCAATTTAGAAAATGGAACACCTCAGTGTTTTTATATGTTTTATTTTTAACACGTTAGTTTCTATATAATAATATATATATGCCTTTGGGAACAAGGTTAATATTTCAGTTTTTCCATGGACTGTACAAACTGAATTATTTATTTATTTGAATTTGTAAGTAATAATACCCAACTGAGTAAATATTAACTAGTAGCGTTTAGTCTCAGATCGAATTACACATTAATGAATAATGTATATACTTGGTGAAAATTGATATCATTACATTGGCGTTAACTCTTGTTATTTCAAGATCAATCAATCACTCACCATTTGATGTTTTTGTAATCTATATATTATTATATTATATACCTAATACTTTAATTAACTATCGAATCCCAAAGTAAAAGCCGTAAATTTAAATTATCGATTAACTGAAACAAAAATAAATAATACGTTAATGTCTGTTCATCATTTAGATAATTGATATTGTACATTTTACACATTTTAGAAAATCACAATATCAAGAGGGTTTAAGAATGATATATTGCTTTTTCAATTGTATTAAAACAAACCGTATTACTTCAGAAAGTGGTGCAATTAATTTTTGTGCATACAATTAGTCCCGAAAACTACTCATATGTATTCTTATAATATATACACTCACTTATTTTTTAGACCCCCCCCCTCCAAAAAAAAATTGAAAATATGCCACTGCATATATGCAATAATTAGATTTATTTTATGTATGTTTAAGATTATTCAGCTTTTGTAAAACGTTTATTTTAATTTAATTTAAATATTTATATCATGATTTGTAGATAATTATAGATAAGTATTTTTATTTTTCGAGGCTCTATAAAACGGTTGCGAGTATATAGTATTAATTTAATAGAATAATAATGGTTTGATCATACAGAGTTTCTCATATACAAATATAATGAATAGCATATTGATAAAATTCTATTGTATTTATAACCTTGAGTTTTTAAAACTTTTTACTTTCAATGAAACAACAATTTTATAATCCACTTATAAAATGAAAAGTTCAGTTGCCAAAAATAAAAATTCAAATTTCTTAATTTATGTATTATACTATAATGAACTTGATAAAACAAAGGTTTTTACCTTATTTGTTACACAGTATATTATCAAGATAAATGTTTTAATTTCGTAAAAGCATCGTATGTTAGGGTGCATCATGTGTACATATATAATAATATGCAAACAATATTCAATGTGTATCTATGTGATTTACGGAATTGTTTTTTTTTCTCAACACGACATATATTTTTCTGCCCTTTCAGGTGTTTAGTATGGCGTTGATTTACGTCAGCTTGGACGGGGACAAATGGCAAGAATGGCCGATAAAGTTTAGCACAAAGTCGGAGGCCATTAAGGACACCGCTGTAAACATAACCATCAATCTGAAGAGCAGGGTGGGCCGGTATATCAAGATATGTCTCTATTTTTCTGCTCGATGGATACTCATCAGCGAGGTCTCGTTTGAGTCCGGTAAGTAATTTTCGAGACGCATTCGGGTAATATATCGTAATAATTCTTTTCGTAAAACACCGAGTTCAGGATAGCATTTCAGAAAAATTTTAAAGCGTATCGAAAAAGTTAAAATTTTAGAATTGCTGAAGGGATCATTAAACAATATTGTGTTACACGTAGGTATACTTTTTTACAAAATATACTAAAATGAAATGTATGCAGGTTTAGGTACTTCGTATGATATTAATGGGCTATTCACGTTGAACAAGGATGACATAAATGGCTATATGTTGTATACAAAGCTAATCAATAAACCAACCTGCACTCTATCCTCATTCGAAAGCGTATTATTTAAGTCCACTTGTCATTTTAACCACCAACCACATAAATCACTAGCGTTTGTGAACTTGGTACGGTTACTGAATAGACAAAAACTATAATTCACCATAACTTAGCATAGTTTATGCTCCTACAAACTTACTTACGTTTATCAACCAGACACGTTATATCTGCACAAGTATCTACTACAAGTCAGCGTATTATTATTATTATAATTTATAAGCCATATAATTCTAAGTTGTCACTAAATAAACAAGATAATGATATTATGGTTAATGTCTTGATGAAGCAGTGGTGTTCTTATCGAGAAATGTCGATTTTTTTTTTGTTATATCATTGCTTTTACCATGTCACGTACGGAAAAAAACTTAGGACTTTTGACTTATCTACATACACCTTATAAACACAGGAAATAGGAAGTTTGTCCCAATTTTAATACTATCGAATTTTCCAAGGTACTGCGAAAAAAACTTTATTCAGTACCCCTAATTTTATTTTATAAAAACCTTTATACAATTTGTGGTTTCAACTCCTTCGAAACTTGAATAACTATGTTTCATCGACACTGTGTACATCATAGTAACTATAGGTACCTAATTTATTGTGCATACCTATAGTGCTATAGTTATGATAAATTATGGTTTGTTCAATATTGTTCGGGCCGAGTCCGTTTTGTTAGATTTACATACAACGCTTTGAGATGTTTCACCTTTGAGGTACTAGGTAGTTTATCTGCTGTTTAATAATAGTCCGACAACAGACGTGATACGAACGGAAATTCCGTACCTAACAATTCATAGTAACAGAAAACAACTATCAATGTGTTTGAGTGCATGACCGATCTCATCTTCTCCTCGAGTTCACACTGAAGCAGTCGGTGTGGTACGTGACTGTCCACGTTTGTTTTTGTTTTCCATTTCATTAATAGGCGATTCATGTAAAATCGAACCCACAGCCTTGCACGTTTACGAGTTGACAAAAAACGTTTATAATCGACGAGAAAATCGGTCCTTTTTAAACTGCCGTTTTGGCCGTAGATAGACTTGAAATTATACATCCACACACCCGGCCATATGTAACAAGAATTGTTTTCCGGCGAAAGACAAGCATTGGAAAATGTAGTGGGGGAAAAAAAAAGCAAAACGCAGTACGGTCTATTATAATAATATATATTCACCACCCTCTGTGTATATATTTTATGTGTGGAAGCGTCTCGTATATATTGGTACGATTTAAATTTCCGGTCGGTCGCTATCGGTAAACGTTGAGAGATATTATTATACGCGATACAGCATACGAAGGAGCCTCTCTCAGTGCACGTCACACATCAACGACGACATGGGGATAACAATCCGCATTTTTCTCTCGCAATAACATCGAACTCCAGTTACATTTTACTATTATTTCCATACGAGACGTTTCGTCGGAATACATCGCCGCCGAGTGTATTTCTATATTCTCCCCTGGTAAAAATAAATAAATCGAAAACGTTTTCACCATATATTATAATAATACGCGTATATTCGTGTGTGTGTGTGTGTGTTTGTGTATAGGTATATTATTATCTATTCTCCGACAACCGCCGTCTGCTGTAATATCAACCAACTCCCGCCCGCCGGTCCAGATCCAAAATATGAATTAATCTAGCGAAAAATATTTCGATATCGCAGTTTTAAACGAAATCCATCCATGTAATATTATACACGATTTCTATATAACACGGCTGTTACTTTTGTTGACTTTCGACTCGTTTTAAATTAAATTTAACTGTCGAGTGTATTGTGTGCTCGATAAATAAATAGTAGACGCACACACAGGCACACACACTCACCCTATACTCGTATAGTTGTTTTGAAATAAATAATTCCCTAAAACAAAAACGTAATATAAAAGGTGTACAGACGGATTCGTATATAATATTTTTACTACACGCTGAAACGTTATTCAAAATGAACTTTTATAATACACGAATGAGTCAAGACACAAAACCCCGTCAAATCCTTCAGTGAATATAAATTCTTCTTGGCCACCGTAGTGTGGTTTTATGTAGCCCTAAAGGAATCCAATTTCAAAGGATTTCCTTGAATCAATGCACATTGAATAACGTACGAGTAAAATGATAGGCTGTCTCGGTTGTTACAAATTGTGGTTTAAGCACTATGAAATAAAATACCCTAATCAAAATGCCTACATTTTAATCAGCTCACCATTTTTGTTACATAGGTATTATTATTCTGTATTTAATATTCGAATTTTTTCCTTTAATTAAAACTATAGTCACTAATTAAAATGCAACTAATCGGCATTAACACAATATTTCTGTCGTTTCCATTATTATTTTTGTATCGTCACGGTTGACCTGTAATCTCCGGTCCTGACATTTGTTCGCATGCGACGCCAATCATAAATCGGCGAGATTAATCGACCGTGGTTAACCAAAAACCTTAGCTCTTTGATACACCGTCTTGTTTGTGTGTACCTGGTACAAAACCATAATACCTTTCCTTTAGAATGGGCCCGGCGGGTGTTGAAAGGTCACAAACGTGTTGCATACGCTTTGCATAGTAATTCGTTTAAAACAGAATTTCCACTCATTCCAGGACCCATACGAACGACTCCCCGTTTTCTTCGCACGAATTCCCTATGCATTGAATTTTATCCGTCTCGGTCGTTTTCCCAATATCAGAAATCCTTGAGTATAGTTAAAATACTTATGGAAAACTATAAAGCCGAAACAAAGTTTCTTAAGTTACGACTTTGGTGCTAGTATAGTAACTTATTATGATATACATATTTTATAATACTACATTATACCAATATGCCTAACCATAGAACTTAAAGACAAATATTCTCATGATCAGGTATTTAATATGTACGTGTTGCTTGTCGTTAATTAATTTATTAAAAATTTCTTCGGGTAAAAGTTATAATACCTACAGAATTAAATCCTTTTTGGTAATATAATATACGAATGCAATAATATTATGGTTACGAAACTTAATTTAATATTTGACATTTTAATTCATGTAGGAGGTACCTATCTGAAATATAGAGAAGTAGTCTTTATGATTGGGTTGTTTTATACTGTGCATAAATACCTTTAACATACTCTGAATTATCCTTATACTCTTGTGAAAAATTGTAATGTTTTTGCCCTAGTTTAGAACACAGCACTATTTCAGAAAAAGTAATCGTTTCGAGTGTATACGATAAATTTATTGTACACGCAGAGGAGTAGCATAACATCCGTGCATACAGAGCGAGCCATGATTTAATAACTACTACCATTACTTTAAAATTTTGATGGTTGATATTATTTGATGGGAACTAATGTATAGTATAAATATTATATGTTTCAATGTTAATAGTTTTTTGTCTGGCCGTAAATCAATTGTTTATTATCTTTGTGTCCCGGTGAAACATATCAATTTCATTCGATGCCGCGACAAAACTAATGGTCAATAATTTTAAATTCAATTTATACTTTTGAGCTGTCCGTTAAGTATATTTAATGGTATCTGTTAATAGTTTTATTTTAAAAACGAGATAGCAACTTCTTTTACAAACTTTGCGTCTATCAGTCATATTAACTATAATATATATATATGGAAACATTGGACGGACAAAAACATCATCAATATTGACCATTGGCATTTACGGAATTGAACAAAAACGTTTTCTAACGTAAAAAAAAAAAGTTGTTAGCTTTTGAAAACTTTTCACTCACCTCTATTTACGTCCCTTGTGTTTCCATCGTACAGTAACTGAAACATTTGGCGTTAATTAAGACATCCATTAGTCAATACCTACCTCTCCTACGTGGGACTAAAACTTTTTTTCTTCTTATTATTATTATTATTTTTTTTTTTTTATCCACACAGCATAACTTGAAATTTATGTTTCGGGACCAGGTGCGTTTGTTTTTCGTGCGCAAATAACAGGCGTGCTTTTAAGCCCCCCGAGCTCTCCTTTAATGAGTACATTCCATTAAAACATGAATTCTCGTCCTTTCGAACAATGACCATGGGCAACCCGACATTAAAATTTACCGTGGTTCGAGGCAGTCTAATTGCGAAACGCAAACCGTAATATATGTAAACTAGACTGGACGTCGCGTATAGAACCCATATACCTGCTGCCCTCCTATATCCATTAACCGCCAGTTATGAATACAGGAAACAGTGTTGCCGTGGATGAAAATGTTATAACGTTTACGGTATTATTGGCAATTTACAGAATTGGTCGCTGCGAACATAACCGAGGGATTGTTATCGCAGTTCTACACTCAAAAGGAAACTGGATACGAACTTCGCCAGAGCGGTGATACGACGCATGCGAGGAAGGAAGTTACTACAGGTAAACCGTTCAAACTTAACAATAACACACTGTTAATATTCATGTACGATTTTATCTGCATTATTTACCTGACACCATATTATCACATGCTATATGTTTCCGGTGGCTGTATACGATAGCCCTATGATGAGTGTACAATGTGGGTTAAGGAGTTCGAGGGGGTGGTATATATTTTGGTCGGGTTTGGTCGAGAGAACTGATCAACCGGTCACTAAAGTATATAAATGTTGAATCTAAAATTTAAATTTAAACTGATTTTAATAAAATCTATACATTTGTTGAATTTGTCATTAGACTATGAAGGGTCAAGATAATATACCTAGGTATTATTGATAAAATAATTAAAATTTAGAGACAGAAAAATCTTTTTATCAAAATTAATTATAATATTTAATGATAAAAAATAAAAATTAATTATTTTAGCCTTATTTCTACTATTAATAATAATTATTATTATTAATTATAAAATATACTTTTAACTGTCATTATATTATTTATTGTTATAATAGATATTGATAAATTCAATGAATATTTATCTATTGAAGTAGGTATGTGAGTTTTAAAATATAATTAAATATAATTTACTTTATATATATATGTGCTGTTGCTTGTCAATGACACAATCAGTCTATTAATACTTAATATAGAGTCGGTAAACGTAGAGACTTAGACTATATGAAAATTCATAATTTATTTGGCTAAAGAATAATATATAAAAATAAAGAAGGTTGCATTAAGACACTTGATTAATCATTGACTCCAGAGTACATCTGCTAATTGGTGTGCCTTGACTCTTGAGCCCCTTTTCATATCCTTAATCTGACATAAAACAACAACTTGCATCATGTATTTATGGGCTTACGTGTTTTTACGTGGCGAGTTCTTAATGAAAACTGTTCTGATTATAAATGACGCTTATATGATCATACATGTCAACCATAGAGCTAACAAGTTTCTGATTATTTACTACACACTGATTCCTAAATGCATACAATTTAATAGGTTTATTAACCATAGGAACAAACAAATATCTGCCCATAATTGTCTTTATAATTTACTAAAATAATATATAAGAATTATAAATTCCAGCACTAGGAGCAAAGAATTGTACTTTATGGTGCTTCGTAGTTTCTTGAATAAAGCATAATTATTGAAAACGATTTTTTTTAAATAATGATACTATTTCTATAATATAATTATATACCTACTGCACTATCAAACCGCAAAGCGAAAAGTATGTTCGACTTAAACCTATATCTCTTTGATAGGTAATCTAATCTACCTGATACTTTAGTAACTGTGCCTTCTAAGGATATGTCAATGGTTTTAGTTACAGGGATATCTACAACAGTTGATATTCTATCATTAGTTTTTTTAATTTATGTCTCTATGGGATATCAATTTCTTGGTCAGTGACCAATTCAGATAATATTCCTGACAAAGTTATCAAATTAACTATGGTAATAAGTCTTAAATGTTGTATTTACTTTTTTTTTTATCGAAGAACAGTTCGGACGCTAACTTATCATTGATTAATAATTAATATTTTTAATATTGAGCTTAAGTCTATAATGGAAAAGTCGGTTATACACTTTGGTAATTCATGAAATTAATTGTAGAGTTACATTTGTTGAAGCGTACCCAGTCCCAGTATATGCTAGTGTAGAATATAAGCGTATTAATATTTCAAGTTTAATTTTTAATGAAGTATTAAATTTTCAAATATAATCAACACAAACATACTTAGAGTAATATTGCTATAACTAATATTTATTTGACTATCGTGTAGTTGTTTTCACAAACTCTATAATATCACATAAGAAAGAAGCTCTGGGAGCCAATTTTTATAATATAATAATACTTACCTTCTGTGGTTCGACACATTAGTGTATTACTATTTCCAAGATATTTTTCACTAAAGTTCTCAGAATGGTGAATTTTTTGGAACGTGCTTGATATTATATTTGTGGTTTATATAGTATGTGGTTTTTTATATGCCACCCTTGCACTTTGCAGTTGTTATTCTCATCACACATTCCTGATTAATTGTATCATTATTATATATTATATCGTGCATTTTTTTATATACCTGTATGGCATTGTATAAATTATATGTATTTTTCGTATGTATTGTAATATTGTTTGTTTTATGCTCATAAAATACAGCGTCTGTTACACCTCAATAAGTCAAAAATCTACATATATTCTAAACTTTTCTATTCCAATTCCACTTACGTCCAATTTATTTCTTTGATAATATTAATACTTTCTATAGACTTGTACAATGTACATAGTGTATTATGTCACATTTTCCAATTATGTAGTTTGTGAACTTATCTCTTCCTTCTGTGAATGTAGTGTGTATCAATGGTCTATGGTAAACTGGCTGTTAATTTTTATTTATTGACTATTGTCATTAAGTATTAAGTCGCACTACTCAAAGTATTATCCTCTTTATAAATAAATAAATTCAGAATATAGTTAACATTTTTCAAGTATATATTGATTTTCTTCAGTGTTCATAATAATAATTATATAATATTCTAATTTGTACGTATTATGTTATAAATCTTTTCTAATAAATTATTATTTTCAACATTTAAGAGTGTATGATCTTTATAATAGTTCACTGTCGTATAATATGTCTTGTTACCAATTTAGAGTCCATCGGCATTAGGTGTCAACATGGTTATAAACCTTTGTGTAGAGGGGTGGGGGGCGCTATAAATATAAATTATTATATCAATTGTAAGCTCCGTGTGATTCGACCATCATAGACTTTATTTTCAAAAAGGATTCCTCCGTAGCCGCGGATCGCGTGGAGTTTTAAATATTATATTATTATTAAACCAAATGTCGCTGGTGTTTACTTAAGACATAAATATTGTGCCATGTGCTTTATTGTTGGTATATTTCATGTGACTCTCTCGAACGAGAAAAAAAAAATAACTACATTTTTACAACGATCTGTCTTGCACGGTAAACCCGTTTTTCGCAGGACCCAGTCCAGGAAACAGCACTCAGACGTACGTGGGCCTGGTCACCGGGTCGCTGGCCATGACGGTGCTGCTGGTGGCCGGCGTGGCCGTCGGTCTGGCGCTGAAACGTGGCCGGCAGAAGGTCGCTCTGCTCCAGTTCAAGCAGGCCACGCTCGGGGCGCCCAAGCAGCAGTCCATCAACATGAAGCACCTCAAGAACGGGTCCAAGACGGCCGTCGGGTCGTCGTCGCTGTACGGCCGGAGCGGAGCCATGTTGACCGGCGGCATTGGCATCGGCATCGGCGTCGGCGGCGGTGGCATCGGCGGCGGCCGCGTCGGCGGTCACGTCGGACACGAGTCCGAGGACAGCGACAACTCGTCCGTGTACCACGAGCCGTACAAGCGGCTTCCGTCCGGCAAGAATCACGATTACGCGCCGACCACGTTCCTGTTCAAGAAGGACGTGTCGGCGTTGACCACCAGCAAGAGCAGCGAATACACAGGTAAGTCCGACGCACACCCACCCTCGACACCCACATCATCCGTTGCTTTCCCCGGAGTCCTTATATGTTATATTTAATAAAAAACACCACTACACTCTGATTGACTTACCTCCGCCACTGCCGTTTGAAGTCGAGGAGGGTTTGTCAAATTATTTTTATCTTTATTATTATTACCTAGGTTGAGTTAGTGGGTAGTTTAAAAGTTATATTTGTTATGACGTGTCCGCAGTAAAAATTAGGCTTCTGCTATTCGACCTGAAAAATAAATTAACGTCGAGTTAATATTATAGTCTTGTATATTATCTGCACGTCTTGTGGATATAATTTAAAAAAAATTACTTACCTGTTTGTTTGTTTCATCACGATAAGACTGTTAATATAATGGTTTCATAGTTGTTTAGTAGACACAAACATCTGTAATATACCCTTGCCACTAAAGCGAGGAGTAAAAAAAAAGTAGTCGAATGTATTTTAACGAATTTGTTAGGTAGTTGTAACGATTCTGAATGTACGGACCACTCCTTTCTCCGCTAGTCCGCGCCACCAATACTGCGCGCCCGAGTACCGATACGACATTTCGCTCGCGGACTAACGGTAGATCGCGCTCAAGGACAACTCATCATAGATCCGACGGGGGATCGCTGATTAAGGATACAATTGGTCCCTCCAGGGTGGATTAATGATAGTAAACTAGTAAGGGCATACATTCTGAACAGATTCCTATGTACATCCAAACCCCTATCGACCCGGAAAACCCTCAGCGGCATCGAAACGGGTATGTTGTCATTCGCTAGGCTGACAATCAGGAATAAGCGCAACAGCACATATAGGAAGGCCCGACGGCCGGCTCACCGATTCCGTTTTCCGACCAAAATACTGGTAGGGATAGACACCACCGTCCAGAGTCGTGGGTAAGGCTGTAAAACCCCTTACTGTCCGACTGCCTGGTACTGTGCCTATTCCCACCAGTAGTCGTAACTCTCTTTTTTCTGCGTCCGTATACGCCTATAAGACTCCTTACTTTCCAACCATATCAAACGGCGTAGTGTAACAGTCCGGGTACGGCATTAATACCCCGTACTGACGATCGTTATACTACGATACGCGATTTGGTCGATGTGGAAGGAGTCTAGTCATTTACACTCTCTTATCGCTCCAAGAAGCGCATAGTAATTGTTAGGGTGCCGATGAAGGTGCATCTATTGGCTACTGCTGCAAAAACTGTAAGTCGGAATTTATTGTTATAATACTAAAACGTACCGAAGCTGTATTTTGTTTATATAAAATTTTACTTGTTATAATTGTTATATTTGAATTATATTCATATCTTGATATTACCCGTAATCGGACATCCGGAATAATTGCATTCGTATTACTACGTGTATATTAGATTCTATGTTCTATATTTTATTGTATTATATGAATTTGTTTATGTCGATACAATAAATGATATTAACTTTAATGAATATGTGTTCCGTTCATTACATTTTGGCGCCCAACGCGAAGCTCGAATTTTAACGACCACCACTAAGAGTGTCGTGCTCTTCCTACTAAAAAACTACATCTATAAATCAACATGGCTCCGAAAAAAAGACTTGATAACAACGAAGAGCATATTATAGACAGAATTGAAGCATTAGAAAAATCTGTTGAAAACAGAATAAAAAATATGGAGAATAAAATGAAAGGAAAATACGATGAAAAAATCGAGGAAATAAAAAGAAAATACGATAACAAACTGGAAGAAACAGAAAAAAAGAACGAAGAAAATGCGAGAAAAGCTAAAGAAAATATGGAAGAAGAAATAGAAAAACTAAAACAGAAATGGGAAGAAATCTATAAGAAAAAGACGGAAGACAATGAAATCAGATATCAAAGGTACATGGACGAGATGGAAGAAAGATATTTAAATACGTTTCGCAACTTGGATGAAACAAGGCAAACGCAACTCAGAGAAGAGAACTATCGGCCTCAAAGACAAGCCACAGACATCACAAAACCCACGTTTTACGGAAATCGTCGGGACCAACACCCAAGAGATTTCGTAAGTGAACTACGGGAATATTTTGCAATAAAACAGATCTACGATGAAGAAAAGCTGATTGTGGTAAAAGACTGTCTGAAAAGCACCGCGGGCAGTTGGTTTTTGGCAATAAGATTCCAACTTAGGAATTACGAAGAATTCGAAAGAGTATTTATCGATGAATACTGGTCCAAAGAGATTCAGATCCAGGTCTGGAGCCAATGCCTAAACGTCACACAAATCGCGGCTGACGTAAAATATCGGGAACACTTCATGTACTGGGCCACGAACCTCCGACACTTGGAAATGCCATACCTTAGCGAGGGTGAAATTGTACAAAACATTGCCGGACACTACCCCGGGTACTTAAGGGCAATACTGACCTCTCTACCACAAAAAACAATATTAAATGCGATGAAGGTCCTCGGAGCCGAAGAACATCGAAGGAGAGTACCAACGAGAGACAGTAATCCACGGAACGGCAATGACAATAATCAACGCCATAGCAACAATCCACGGAACACTAATGACAATAACCCACGTCATAACAATGGTTATAACCGACCAAACAACACCAATCAGCAATATGGTAGATGGCGGGAAAACCAAAATGGTAATACACAAAATGCAGAAAATAATAGAAACTTCAACCAACCGGGGCAAAACAGTAATCAATGGAGAGACCAACAACAAGTTCGACAGATAACAATTGAAGAGAACGAGGGGGAAGAACCAGCAGAAGAAATCACACATACGATAAATAATATTCCCACGAACAAGAAGACCATCAGTCCATACCTACAATGCAACATAGAGGGAGAAAGAGTCAACCTACTAATTGACACCGGAGCCACGGTAAGCGTCTTGGCTAAAGAAGTCGTCGACCGCATACTGAAAAAGAACCCATGTGTGCCCACACTACCGGTAAATGGAGTCCAGATCAGCAACGCAATCGGTAAGAAGCTATGTAAAGTTTCGAAGCAAATATACTGCTCATGCGAACTCAATGAAGCCGATATATTGGTGACATTTGTACAGATGGAAAATCTCAACGAACGGGGAATCATCGGTACTGACGTATTAGACAAGTATGACGCACAGATCGATTTTCAAAATAAAACGATCAGATGGCGTATCAATGAAAAGGAACATATAACACCATTCAGAGAACAGGAAACTAGTGAACCAGGGGACAGTACTACACTCCAACAAGTTGAAATTGCCAGGGAAAGAATAAGTGAGGGAAAACTACTTCCAGAAGAACTTGTCATATTCAACGAACTATTATGGAAATATGAACACATATTCTCAGAGAATCCAGGCAAAATTGCAGACCATGAATGCCAAATTAAAGTTATCCCTGGAGAGCCTATCTATCAAAAACCGTATCCTATACCGATCTCCAAATTAGAGAAAATGGATAAGGAGGTGGCACGGATGCTACACTTGGGGATAATTGAACCTTCAGATTCCCCATGGTCGTCTCCTATTGTTGGAGTCGAAAAAAGAAACGGAGAGGTACGACTCTGCCTGGATGCGAGGAAAATTAACACCCGAATAGTCCCGGACCGAGAACGACCCACTAACATCGACGAGATCTTAATGAAGTTTCAAGGAGCCAGATACTTAAGTTCAATAGACCTAACGGCCGGATATTGGCAATGTCGACTAAAGAAAGAATGCAGGGGAATCACAGCATTCTTATACCGAGGAAGAAACTACCAGTTTAAAGTTCTACCTTTTGGACTTGTAAACTCAGTAGCAGAGTTCCAGAAAATTTTAGACAAGGTCTTAGGATCGGAAGTATTACAATTCACCGCTGTATACGTGGATGATATCCACGTTACTTCGACTACTTTTTCAGAACATATGAACCGCCTAGAGAAAATTTTCCACCGTTTCCAGCAGTATAATGTAACAATCAATATGAAGAAATCACAATTTCTATGCAGTCAAATTTTATTCCTGGGACATATAATCTCTGAAAAGGGACTTATCATGGACCCAGACAAAATAAAAGCAATACAGAACTTCCAAGAACCTAAGAGTAAAAAACAAGTGCAATCTTTTCTAGGGTTCATCAATTTCTACCGCCAATATATAAGGGATCTATCAAAATACACTACCGTTCTAAGCCAACTCACCAAAAAGAATACCGAGTGGGAATGGAACGAAGAACAACGCGAGGCATTCCAAACTATAAAAGGACAGTTTTTGGATGATATAGTACTTGAATATCCGGATTTCAAAAGAGAGTTTTATTTGGCCACCGACGCGTCAAAAACACACTTAGGAGCGGAACTATATCAACTGGACGAGGAAGGACGACATAGAACGTTAGGATTTGCTAGTCGAAAACTGCAAGACGCAGAACAGCATTACTATACTACTGAACTTGAATTATTAGCAATTGTTTTTGGATGCACCAAATATAGGAATTATATATTGGGGTATCGAGTAAATGTTATTACAGACCACAAAGCACTGACGTTCCTCAATCAATGCCAACTACTGAATGCGCGGTTGATGAGATGGGCCATCAAACTACAAGAGTTCGACCTGCAAATAACCCATGTTCCCGGAAAGGACAACATTGGAGCAGACACTTTAACCCGCTACCCACAAAGTCCAGGGGACAGGGATGAAATACAAAAAACAACTATTTACATCAATAAAGTGCTACACAACCAGTATAGCACGAAGCTATTACGACAATTCGAACAGATGAAGGATCTCCAGGACCAAGATGAAGAGTTGAATACTATCCGAGACCGCATCAAAACGCATGAAACCCACAGGTACAAAATACACCAGGGATTACTCTTCTTCATTGATAAAGACGGAAGAGAGAAACTCATGCTCCCCAAAATTATGGTACAAGACATAGTGATAGAAACTCACGAATTATTCGGACATTTTGGAGCAGCTAAAGTACACGACATGCTACGAAGAGAATATCAGATACACAAGATGTACCACACCATCAAACAAATAATCAAGCGATGTGATATATGTCAAAGAAGCAAGATCCCAAACCAAAATACTAGGGGACCGTTGATTGCAAACATTCCCGAGAAACCCAAAGAAAGGATTTCACTGGACTTGATGGGGCCGTTACCAAAAGGACAGTTTGGAAACCAATACATTTTAGTATTATTGGACCTATTTACGAAACATGTACAAATTTATGCTATGAGGAAAGCAACGGCCGGGAATATATTACGAAAACTACGAGATAAGTACTTACCTGCCTTTGGTCCAGTACAGAGCATTCTCACGGACAACGGTACGCAGTTCCATAGCAAAGCCTGGGAGAAACAGATGAAATTATGGGAGATACGCCACATAGTCACAACTACCTATCACCCCGAAGGGAATCCGGTTGAAAGGACGAACCGGGAAATAGGTCGTATATTACGAACTTTTTGCTACCAGAAACATACCGCCTGGGTAGGGCATTTACCAAGGATCGAGTATTGGCTCAACAATGTCACTCACTTATCCACAGGCTATACCCCACAAGAACTAGTCGATGGACGCCGACACAGTTTTCGACTGAACAAACTGATCACGGCTGACGATCTATTGTTAACTGAAGAAAAGAATACTATTGTACAACTGGCATATAAAAGACTGAAGAAGACCGCGCAATACCGATGTGAATACCATAACAAAGGAAAGAAATTCCCTAATTATGTTCAAGGCCAACAAGTCCTCCTACGAGAACATAAATTATCGTCGCTAGATGATAATACCGTAAAAAAGTTCTTCTTGCTATATCGCGGACCATATCTTATCACTGAAGTACGAAAGAATAACACCGTAGTAGTAATCTCGGAAAATGGTCAACAGTCAACTCATAATTTCAAAAACATCAAGCTGTATGTACCTCCTGACCCCGGCAAGGAGATACAGAATTAACGCCAGAGACAAGAAACCAACCATCCACCACTACTATAACCATCACGCCCAGCACCAAGGCCACCACACTTCCAGTCCAGGGACCAAAGGAAGGAAGGAGACTAGCTGATCCTACAAGCAAACGAAGTATCAAGAAGAAGAGTTTCGGATCCCTGCGCACTCGACCGCAGTAACACATTTAAAAAAAGAAATAATGTATATATCTTGCCATAAGCACCAATTTTATTGTTTAAACCTTAATAGTTTCATCTTGTTTTTATTTTTCCTAAATTGTATATTGTAAAACTTTCAAGGTTACGAAAATTTTAAAGTCCCATTTACTCAAAATAAAAAAGGGGACTATGTAACGATTCTGAATGTACGGACCACTCCTTTCTCCGCTAGTCCGCGCCACCAATACTGCGCGCCCGAGTACCGATACGACATTTCGCTCGCGGACTAACGGTAGATCGCGCTCAAGGACAACTCATCATAGATCCGACGGGGGATCGCTGATTAAGGATACAATTGGTCCCTCCAGGGTGGATTAATGATAGTAAACTAGTAAGGGCATACATTCTGAACAGATTCCTATGTACATCCAAACCCCTATCGACCCGGAAAACCCTCAGCGGCATCGAAACGGGTATGTTGTCATTCGCTAGGCTGACAATCAGGAATAAGCGCAACAGCACATATAGGAAGGCCCGACGGCCGGCTCACCGATTCCGTTTTCCGACCAAAATACTGGTAGGGATAGACACCACCGTCCAGAGTCGTGGGTAAGGCTGTAAAACCCCTTACTGACCGACTGCCTGGTACTGTGCCTATTCCCACCAGTAGTCGTAACTCTCTTTTTTCTGCGTCCGTATACGCCTATAAGACTCCTTACTTTCCAACCATATCAAACGGCGTAGTGTAACAGTCCGGGTACGGCATTAATACCCCGTACTGACGATCGTTATACTACGATACGCGATTTGGTCGATGTGGAAGGAGTCTAGTCATTTACACTCTCTTATCGCTCCAAGAAGCGCATAGTAATTGTTAGGGTGCCGATGAAGGTGCATCTATTGGCTACTGCTGCAAAAACTGTAAGTCGGAATTTATTGTTATAATACTAAAACGTACCGAAGCTGTATTTTGTTTATATAAAATTTTACTTGTTATAATTGTTATATTTGAATTATATTCATATCTTGATATTACCCGTAATCGGACATCCGGAATAATTGCATTCGTATTACTACGTGTATATTAGATTCTATGTTCTATATTTTATTGTATTATATGAATTTGTTTATGTCGATACAATAAATGATATTAACTTTAATGAATATGTGTTCCGTTCATTACATAGTTATACAAAATTGAAAGTGGCACAGTCATATGGTATGAGATTTTATTTAACTATGTTAAGTTAGTGTTTTTATTCATATTAACTTTAATATTTTACAGTTAAATATAATACTTTTTTTTAACTTCTTTATAAATGTACAAGTTAACTAACTCGAATTAGTTATTTAATTAACTTACCAACTTTTGGTCTTTAGAAGTAGGTATAGTGTATACCTATCATATTATTTTTAATGCTTATTATAGGTGTACATAATCGATTTACTATAATATCCTGATTAACCCCTTGATGAGAAATGTCGGGAGTACATTTTGCGATCGCACTTCAAACGCACTTCTTACTGTAGTGTTGTACTATACCTATATATTAAAATCATCCGTTGTACTGATCGAGTGTGCTATCCTCACTGCTAATTGCTATATAATTGATAAGCCCGCCGTCGTTATACCTGTTGTATTTGTATTACCGTGTAGACTTCACGAGCGTCGGCAGTTTCGGGCAGGACGACGTCAAATATTCGTCGCCTTCGATGTACACGCTTAACCCGCCGCCGCCGCCTAGCACCAGACCACCGCCGCTCTTGCAACAGCAATCAGAACAGCTGAACAAATCGCTGCCGGCCAACCTACACAACTACTACGCCGCCATCGACATAATCAAAGTGAGGTTTCGACGTCCGCAGGGACCCCGCGAATAATCCCCTGCCGGACGGGTGTTCGCAGTTTTTAATTGTTTTTTTCCTCCGGTTGTTGCAGACGGAGCGCAAGGAGCAGCATTTCACGCCGGGTGTGTTCACGTGCATGAAGCTGCCGGAAGACAAACAGGACGAGTGCAGTCAGACGTCGCTGTACGAGATATCTCGAAACCGACTGCGAGTGATCGAAAAACTAGGCGAAGGCAATTTCGGAATGGTGAGCGTACGCGACCGCACCAAACCAACCCCCCCCCCCCAAGCACCCCCCAACCGATAACCCCGAGAACCCATCACACACACGGTGCAGGGTAACTTCCCGAATGCGCGAAACGTGATTGGAATGTACGATGATATTTAATAAACAACTGTCAATTCCATATTATATAGATCCACTTATGCGAAACGGACGGGATACCCGAGTACAATGCCACGTCGACGTTCCACAAAAGACAAGTGATCGTCAAATCGCTTCGGCGTGGCTGTGGCGAACAAAACAAGTGAGTGGAATAATAAAAAAATATATATATATTTATATACATCACTACAATTTTTGCTTTATATCCGTAGTTTCTTTTGCTATTTTTTTTCGTACACTCTCGACCTGAGTCGTGTATTATTATTTTTATTATTATTATAAGAACGCGCGAGAATCGAAAATCAATTTTCCGCCTTAAACGCCACGCTTCAGAAAACGTGCCCTATTTACAATTTCTTTCTTTTGCGCCATCATCGTAATAACATTGAAAAAAAAAAAAATGTTATTTTATTTGTCATTTACCTACGTACCTCCGATACAAAAATGACTGACATCACAATAACGATATTTCGATTTTGGTTGACAATACCCATTTTGTACGTCAACGAATCGATTTATACTAAATTGTATGTTCATTGCGGAGATGGATGGAAAATGAATGTACAAAATATAACTATCGGCAAATCGCGTGTACGAGTCCTGAAAAGTACAACTCTAATCTATACAATATTATTGTGCTTTTCTGTTTATTTCTCTGCAGACAAGACGTGATGAGGGAGACAAAGTGCTTGTACACTGTTCGGGATCCAAATTTGGCACGAATCGTGGGCGTGTGCAGTCCTGATGAGCCTCTGTGCATAATACAAGAGTATTGCGAATACGGTGACTTGCCGAGTTTCTTGAAGGTCCAAACTACGGAATCCACTGAAGCTCATCCGACAATCAAGTAAGGATATCGATACACTGTTTTTATACACTTCACCCTACAAACAGTGTATAATATGTAATGTGTGTGAAGTTAGCCCACCCACTTTATAAGAAATTTTCCAAAATTAGTGTAACCTATTATTTTCTCAATTTTTAACCATTTGTAAAAAAGTTTTTGAATTTGTAACCTCATCATTTTTGAAAACTGATCGATTTCCCCCAGGGGGACTTTGAATTCTTATAAAGTGGGGGGGGCTAACTTCACACATGTATGTAGTATATATCTGTACAAAATATGTGTTAGTTCATCAACAAGAAACCATGTTTTCTAAACAGTGGCGTAAATTGAGTATTGACCTATGTGGATCATGACACTAAAATATATACTATGACGGTCCAATGTTATGTGCCGCTAGAAAAACTAAAATATACATATTTGATATTAATATATTATGTCCTATGCTTATCAAGTTTATAGTGTCTATCATAGTAGTGACTTTAATATGAATATAATTTAATTTTCCGACTGTTATAAAATATTGATAATTTTAAGAATGGTTAAGTTACCTACTTAAGGGTCCCGGTGTCAGTTTTTCTAATTTTCCAAAATTCTATAAAATTTGAAAATTAAATTTTATATTTAAATCGCCACCTCAATTATTAGACTTTTCCATCAATCTACTACCCAATACCTATTTAGGGGGGGGGGTTAAAGGTGTATTATATCGAAAAAAATGACTTTACGAGAATAACTCTCAAGCTTTATAGAATTGTAGGATTTTTATGACTGAAAAATTTTCATCTGAAAAAGAAGACTTCCTACAGCCCGCATCGATCTCTGATTTTGTATTTTATTTCAAATAATTGTATTAAAAATGTGTAAAAAAATGTTTTTTATCTTGTATTTTTTTTTTGACATATTATAAAGTTTGAGAATAAAATATTGAAAAACAGAGATCGATGTGGGCTGTAGAATATTTCCCTCTAGCAATTAAAAAAAAAATTATGAAATTTGGTTGATTCTACAAGGCGGTATTGTTATTCCCGCAAAGTGTATTTTTGAGGACAAAATGGCATCGGCACCGAGTGCCTTATTAAGAAATATTTCAACTTTTAAAAAGGCAACTAACAGTAATATGGACCATGTCATTTTTGAGCTTAAGTATTTGACATACGATTCATCTGAAGAGGACGTATAGACACTTAGTATGGAATAATAAATATATCAACTGTTTTGTAAGTTTATATTGACAATGTAATCATAAGTTTACTGATTTATTATTTTAAAAAAAGTGTTTAACTATAATATAATAAATTATTTTTAAAATATAAATTATGTTTATCCTAATCTATGTTCAAATTGTTTTTGGTTAGATTATAATATCTTGTCTTAAGAAAAGAAAGATCTTTAATCATTCCTCTCCTTCACTTCAACTTAAGGCCAATTTACTCCACTGGTTTTAAACGTTCCACAAATATTATAATATAACGGTTTTCACATACGAATGCTAGTTATAATAATATTATCCGTATAATATATATCATAAAAAATTGTGCTGGCAATAATATTATAACCGTCCGTTAAATAATTTATTGTATTTCGTTTTTTTTTTTTTTTATCTTAGTTACGGATGCTTGCTATACTTCGCCACTCAGATAGCATCGGGCATGAAACATTTAGAGGGTAAGGGGATCGTTCACAGGGACTTGGCCGCGAGGAATTGCTTGGTAGGCAAAAACTATTCGCTAAAGATATCCGATCACGCGTTGTACTGCAGCCAATACGATTCGGATTATTACGTTAGTGACACTAAGTCGAGATTGCCAATCAGATGGATGTCGTGGGAGAGCCTGCTTCTGGTAAGTCAATTATTATTTTTACTTTTTACTCTTTCAATCGGAACTTTAATAGATAAATAAATAAAATCATCTCCGTAATATAGCTGACGATATTTTAGTGATATTTATACGCAATCTATTGATTTATGGCTGCCGAGTGAACGTGTAAACACCATAATAAAATAACCGAGATTATACGATAGTACATTCCTTTCCACTCGTAACCCGTCATTTCGAATTCACTTTGCTTACTGATTACTCTACCGTATTTGCATGTAAGCCGACCTACATATACCTTATTTTTGACTTGTGAAATCCTCGGTCCAGACCAACTTCTTAAGTACACACTGACGTACTAGAACACTGTATATGCGTATACAATTTATGTGACTGTGTATTCAACAGAATGTTAATCATTTGCACAAAAAATGCATGCAGTACACGAGTGTATAATATACGGGTGGTCCTAATTATTTAGCTTCTCTATTTAATAAACGTCGGGTAAGCTTGGCAATTATTTCAAAGTCTGTATAATATTTAGAACTCAAAATGTTAAAGTGCGATGCTGTGAAATACAACTTTTAAAATGTTTCCCGTAATAACCGAATATTTAATGGAAAAGTTACTACGATGTGAACATCGTTAACTATAGTTTTAAATTTTAATTAAACATAAATTAGATTTGTATTGATCTTACCTATATTTTAATTGCGATAACGAACCTACCTACATTCGTGCCTGTTACAAAATGTTGTTAAACAAATGCATCACAGTGCCTCAAACATTCAAAATATTATAAACAAGCCGTCGATCAATAAAATAAACCAGAAACACGTATAAGTTGCATAGGCACCTATATGAAATATGATAGATACCTGTTGGCTGTTGATGTTAGGTATGAATAAAACCTTTTTAGCTCTATAAAACACCGTATATGCACGTATTTTTGTTTTAATTTTCCTTTAAAATGTTATCTGCTGTTATTTCGAGTTTGATGATTAGGATTTTCTTTTGTTAAAGCAATTATAAAATATATTGTGACCAAGCAGTGTGTTTAGATTGAAGTCGTATACATTTCTATCGCTTTTAAATTAATGTTTATATTGTTCACAGTATATAATATATTTTTTTAAACTATTTGAGCAACACACGTTTTTTGTCCATTTATCGAGTAGTCTTGTGTGTTTAAAACGCATTAAAGTTCATACACAGACACCAAGGTTAAGTTGATCCAATAGTTTTAAAATATTTTTGTATTGAGGACTGTGTATTTATATACATGTTTACCACTGTTAGTAGATCAGTGGAGTTAGCATGTATAATACATGTTAGCAGATTAATTTTTTATTCTTGTGTTTTTGAGTTCACAAACATAATAATATTATCTTCCCTGTATGGTTGTGTGTAATAGACTTCACATTTTAATCGTTACCTTAAAATATACAATATTGCGTACATGAACATTTCCCAATTATTGGAGATTCCCAAACTCAGAGTTTCTTGTATTTACCAGAAACTTGTAACTTTCTAGCAATACGAGTAACAATAAGCGATGATCATGTGAATTTTTTTTTTGTGTGTGCCGGATTACAGAAATGGAATTACAGCCATTATTTTTTATTTCTGCCATTTTTTTAGTCACTAATTATAATTTAAAATCTGTGTAATAAAAACAAAACTTTTTGATTAATTACAGTATTTTTATTCTTGTTATGCTAATCACTATTTCCGGGATTAACATGTATAGGTACCTACTTAAACATAAAAAACACACAATTTTTAAATAAATTTATAAAAATTAATACTTACAACAAATATTTATTTAAAATTATTATGTTTAATATTATTAAGATGTTTATAAATTTTAATCCATTGTCTGGGTAATTTTTGTAAAATTAAACACTAAATTATATAATAAATAATAAATTGATTTTCAAGCTATACATGTTTCGGTCAATAAGTTTTCACAAATCTCTATCAAAAAATATAAGGTATATAATTCCACTTGAAATGTGCATCAACTAAGTATTTATCACCTTCATCTTTTTTGGTTAACCATTTTCGTCCATGCTGTGCATACAAGAAATATATACGATGCATTTGTAGGTACCTATCATAACATTTATTAAGAAATAGCTTGTATAATAATAACAATAGTAAATAATATAAGTGAATCACCTAGAAATTGCTTTTCTTGAAATACGAAAAATAAATATTATAACAAATGTGTATCAAGAAAAAATTATATCTTAGAAAATAAACTATAACATAACAAAGATAACTATCCACCCTTCATAATACAAATTAGGAATGGGTCATAATTTAATTTTTCGAACTGTTTAAGATCAAACTCGAACACTTTGAACATTTAAATTTTAAATTCAACCCATTTTAATTTTAAACTTATAAGAGATCGTAAACCATGCGATAAGAGAAAAATAGTTTTTAGAGCACGGCTATTTATAATTTAAAAAAGTATCTATATCGAACTTGATTTTTCTCGAATCGTTCGATACGTCATTTCAATCAGATGTAGGTATTAACTTCAAAGTTCGTTTAGATCGAGAAGTTCGATAACTCATCCTTAAACACACGACTGACCACTGATCAGTGAATCGGTATAATAACTATTATTGTTGTTTAACGATAACACCGACACGGACGCGTTTGTGCTCGCAGGGCAAGTACACGTCGAAAAGCGACGTCTGGTCATTCGCCGTCACCCTGTGGGAGATACTCATGTTCTGCAGCCACCAACCACTGGCGGAGCTGACCAACGAACAAGTGGTGGAGAACGCCAACCACATGTACCTGGCCAACGGCAAGCACAGGTACGCTGAACCACCGCCCAGCTGCCCTCGCGAAATGTACGAGATCATGGCCGAGTGTTGGAAGCGCGGCGACTCGGAACGGCCGAAGTTCTCGGAGATCCACCTGTTCCTGCAGCGCAAGAACCTCGGGTACATCCCGGTGATATGATCGGACACGTCCTGCTACAACACTTCCACCCACACGGCTATGCACCCACGCCGCCCAACACCGCCACGGGCCCTCGACTAGCGTGGTAGGTACATCATCGTGTAATAATACAATTATTGTTATATCCCTATAACGGTCACACTGTTGTTTTGAATAGTCGGGTGGGTGCAGCCGGTTACGTCTTTTTCCTGACCTTCCCTGACCATCCCTCCTCCCCCCAACACACGGAAACTGTACGAACCACCCCCGTGTACCCCGCGATATTCGAGTAGTGCGCACATATTGCTGCGTATCCGGATCGCATGTCCTACGCCCTTCCTCCACTACCGATCCAGAACATGTATATTGTATAATAATTACAGTTCCTTGTTTTTCCCGACCATCGTCCGTTAAGAATGTTGCACATTAAACTCGTGTGGACACCCATCAAACATGTTGTCCTACCAACGCCGCGGTAATGATGATGATGATAACTATTATTAATATTATTATTATTATTACTGTTATTATTATAACTATTAGTATTATCATTATTATTGTTATGATTTATAAGACTGTATAGTGTATACCTATAATAATATTGTAATCAAATAATTGTACCCGTAATGCCAACGTAAAAGTCTCCAGTGTCGAAACTTCATAATATTATCAGCCATTACATATTAATATCATAATACAATAACTGCACACAATTTAGCACCAAATACCTATAATTACAACGTTCTGTCAAAAATAAAAAAACGGGCAATATATTCAAACCAAAATATCCTGTCAATTCTAAACCTCCGTTCCGGTCTGAGTTTTATCTTCTCGTAATATTGTCGACTAATATTTTTTTTAAACAATCGCAAAGAAATACTCTAAACTATATTACGAATCTAAAATAATATTATCATGTTGTTATTTTTTAACATCAAAACGGTCAGTGGAAAGAATCTCATGTTTTTTTTCCTTACCATAGCATAATATTATTAAATATTTGAAATCATTTTTATCCGTTGAATTTCTCGTACCAGACTTTATGGTTTTAGCCTTGTTGTCTGCGGATTTTTTTTCGGTTTTACATCTTTTGACTTAGTCAGAATCCCCGAATATAATAATAATATTATGTTTTACGAAAGCCGGACACACTACTGTAATATAATACAATATTGTACATAGTTGTAGTATGCGCGTGTGCGTGTTGTAGGGGATGTTTATTGTTCAAACGCAATGCCAAGATATTTTATATTTATCGTCATGTGCATCTCGACTTCTAAACTCGGTCATTTCTAGAATTATTATACAATTTTATTATACATATTATATTATATTATTATAGTATATTATTATGTGTGTACTTCAGCTGCCATTACTTTGTACAACAACATTACTGTACGCGGTAATACTTTATGTGTTCGATTTCACATTTGAACACAATCATATTTGCTATTCGCCACCTGTGACCCCACCACCCACTTTCCCACACCGCCGGTCCGACGGCAGTAATTACTTATTGCTTAATACTTCTTATTTTAATTGATAATGAGAACCAAATGTAATCAATCTATTTTACACGCAATGTCTTCCACGATTCAATCCGTTTAATGTCGAAGCACTATAAACTTGCAGTGCAAATGATTTTGTTTCAGCCCCAAAACACAAGTGTTGGAAAATGTCTCTTCCATAATATTACAGTTATTATTTCATTTTTCCAACATGCAATTTTTGTATGTTGTAAATCTGTACATACGATTTTCGATTTTTATTTCTTGTACATAATATTATATACCTACGCCCTAACTACTGTTGTAAGAGATCCAAATTTGAAAACTTAAAAAATCTTATTCAATTTATATAAGCTCTCACTTTCGCAGACAACGCATGTATATGTACCCATAATTATTAAATTAAATTATTTTTATTTAGGTCTGGACAAAATAATTTTTATACAAAACTATTTATATTTATTGAATTTTAATTGTATAAAACTCAAGTGGATATGTAGTAAAAATTATAAGTTATTTCATAAAACTATCCACGTTATTTCTATTACTTATTATTATTATTAAAGTATATCATATTATTATGTTTCTTTTAACGATAGTAAATGTAATACTACTTTACATGAACTCACTCCAATGTCTTTCCAAGTAGTTGAAACGGGTATGACTTATACGTCAAGTGGCATATCCTGTTTTAAATTAATTTTTAAGGGATTTACTGTTTTTTCTCCAAATTTTTTATTTATTATTAGCGGCGATGTGTGATTTTCAATCGAATTATCATATTATCATCGCGTCGACCTAAATTTATATTGTACATACATTTTCTCATATTCTCCAACTATACCTCTAGGATCTTTTTTATGTTTTGTATTTAATTTTTTATATATTATATTGGTTGAAATAATATTAAAACTATATGATTTCAATGTATTAAGCTCAAAAGTGGATTAGCTGAGCTCGTGTAAAATGCAATAAATCGTACATATATTAAATATAAACTAATTTAACGTGCAATTTAAAATAAAGTGGTGCCAATATCTGTTATTATTTTAGCTAAACAATCAGTCGAGTATAAACCCAAAATATATGTTTATTTCAAAAACAATTTATTATAATATATCAGATTTTTTTTTGGAAGAGGTGTATATATACATTATTATATTTTTTGAATTTGCATATCATATATAATATACATACATATATATATATATATATATATAGTTTAGTACGCGTTTTTCTCCGAACTTTCCAAAATAGTATAAATTCCTCGGAATTAAACCCCTAATTTTGATTTACGATATAATTTAATTTAGGCCGTGGTCACGCGACGGCGAAAATGATAAAATGGCACTTTTCAAAGGGTGGCATGAAATGGTGTGTAAATAATAATACTATTACATGGAGGGTATAATCAATTGCCCACGTTGCTAAGAGACAATCAATCTCTAAACACTTTTTGGTCTATAAAATTTTGTAAAAAAAAAAAAAAAAATTATACATATTTATAATATTTATATATATATATATATTAATAATAATAATGAAATCTCAGCGCACATTTAAAATATATTATACATAAAACCGAAGGAACACAATGCTGTTTTCTTCGACTTCAGTTGTAACCTGATCATCAATAACTAGGAAGAGCTATTCGTTTCCTATTCAATATAAACTTGCAATAGGTAGTGTAATACTTATATATGACATAATATTACTAATTTATTTGCATTAGGCGATTTGTAAAAAAAATAATAGTTTCTAATATTATATATATATATAAATAAATAATAAATATTATGTTTAAGTATAATATTATACATTATATTATATAAACTTGAAATTCAAATGTATTTGCATAATGTATTTTCATTGACTATATTGTTGTTTAATTATCTTTAGGAAAAATAAATCAGTATTATTAACATTCATCTGTCTTTGAAAAATGAAAAAAAAATGTTATTTAATAAATATGTATGTATACCTTTATGGGCGAGAGTTTTTTATTACAATAACCTGGTTTCACTATCATCGTCGCATAATAATATGGATGAACAACGATCAGTCATCCTTCGTCAAGACACAATACAACAACTTATTCGAGTACACCAATGGTGGTATCAAAACTTTAAGAGATGAACGGTACGTATTAAAATATGTGAAAATATATACCATAATATATGTTATATTATACTTTTGACATTGTGGTCAATGCTTATGTTGTTTTTTGTACATTAAAAACGAATAATATTTTTTTTATGAAAGACAGTAGATCCGGTTTCTATTGAACGTATTTATAAAATTGATTCAAGAATTCAAAAGTCAACTTATTATTTGTTCTGTATGAATTATCATTAAAAAATAATAATATAATATCGTCTTAGAATATAATTTTATTATTTTTAATCCATTTACATTATTGATAATATATTATCAAGATGCTTAAAACCTAGTACATGTCTCCGTTATAAAATTATATTTTTAAAAATTGTTCTTACCTGTGTAGTATTATATTATGATTATAGATATTTTTATCCGACCATACAACATAGAGTAATAATAGTTATCACATTTCTCCCCCAACTAAAATATATAACTTACTATATTAGATAATCGAAAATAAACCAAGGTTGTCGACATATTGCTGTAGAATGTGGGTACATTCTATTAATCTACATTCATCGGAGCCCGGAGGTGTATAATATTATAATTTATAATGCATATGCTTTGTCGATAAACTTAAGTTAAGCGGTTAATGTGATACAAATAATTACAATATACCATATTTTCGTTGTGGATGGTAAGTAAAATAACTATCTATAGAAAATTATATTTTTAAGGTTCGTCAGTTATCGTCAAACATCACTTTTTGACACTATAATAGTCATCACCATAAACTCCAATCACAATTATTCAAAAAAAAACATTATTATAAAAACGATGATTTTATTTATTAATATTTTTTTATATTAAGAGCAATGAAAACAAGAATTGGAGAGGTTATAAATACGCCACAACAATTTATGATCACTTACAAATCAAGTACCCAATACTTGTAGTTTATACTTAGGTACTCGTATCATACCTTTACAATAATAATAATATTACAAAATGATAATGCGGCCGTACTTAGCCCAATCGAATTAATTGTAGACAATCTTTATAAAGCGAAATGGATTATTTCCGTACGATTACTTTCAAACGATTGATAGTGCCATTCGTTTCAGGAACGCGACGATATTTATTGCGGACTCTTTATTAATTGAATTTGACGGATTTTTCCGAAGTTATCGTGGCAGGAACTTTGGTGAGAAATACTACTCAGCAATGATATTTCAAGTATAATATCAGTCCTTTGTACTCGAAACAAACGGCAGCGGTAATATGCAGCCATAGAAATACCATTATGATCGTTACAAGTACCTACTCATACAAAAGCCTTTTCAGAAAATCCGAAGACAGAATCGTTTATGATTATAATTCGGTGAGGTTTTTCATAAATTATCCATCATCATC